GTAGACTTGGCCCATATTCATCACCAGGCTTCCTTCACCCTTAGCTTAGCATCTATATCAGTCTTTGCACCCCACCCCCAGAACTGTTAGGAGTAGGTGTGACCTACTCCTGAAAATGGAAGTAAGGCAGGGCAAAGTTAAATGCAGGACATAGAAGTCCATTTTCCCCCACAGTTTTCCTGTAGGAAGATCAAAGAAGCTGGCAGGCACAAAAACAGTAAAGGGATCTGGAAGGAAAATGAGATGAAGACTCTGCTAGCATAACTCACAATATCTAGGGCTGGAGATGTAGCTTCCTGGTAGAATGCCTTGCATGTGCATGGCCTGGGGTTCAATACCCAGCACCACAAATGAAAAAGAAAAAAACTAGAACAACCAACAGTATCTGCTACAACTTACTGGGGGCACACAGCCCTTCAGCAGTTTGAAGTGTGAATAGGAACTCAGCATTTAAATGTTCACATCCCAACTCCACGTGATCCCAGGTCACTCAGGGCTGCACGCAGAGCTGCTGTGGTGGCTGCAGAGAGGCTGCTGACAATAGCTGCTCACTGAACCAGAACCAGGCTCCAGACAGATATGCTGGCCTGCCCCTGCGCTCAGTGGGTTCCACTTAGGGGTCTTTAGTCTTTTCTAGACAACAGAATTCTGTATCATCATCAACTAAGATTCATGATCACATAGATTGTAAACAAAGACCTTGTCCTGGACTTCTAGTTTTCAAGGGATTCTTTGATTTTAAGCAATTCAGTTCAATTTTTTCCTAGGGATGTTTGGAAAAGCTCTTGTGACTTCCTTCCCATTCTAGAGTATGGGGTGCCTGTGAGGGATTTAAGGACAAAGATCTGCCCTTGGATGGCTTGCTGTCTCCATCCCAACAGAAAACAGATGACCTTTTTAGATGGCAGCTCCTTTGGCTAAAGGTCCACCTAACTTGGCACCCTGGCCCCTACCAACACTTTCAGTGAAGTACAAGGCTCCTTAACTTTTTCTCCTGTCTTACAGTTCTTTGTATCCATGTATTCTCCTAGACTAAGTTCTTTGAGGACAGAAAGCAAGTCTGATGATTCTTTATATCTCCCTTACCTGCCCAGTACTCACCACAGTGCCCAAAACACATTTTCAGAGTGAATACATGAATGAATACTTGAATTAGTGCTGACAGCCAAGGTACACACATCACTCTGCTTAGAGAAGTTGCTTCCTCCAGTTCTAAGGGAAAATCCCATCTATAATTCATTAATCTGCATGTAAGGTAACAGAGCACTGTGAAATGGAGGACATTCATAAATTATGAAGTTATTTTTTTAATGGGTTCATTTTATGTTCACTATCATAATGCACATGAGGCCAGAAAGGAGTTATAGAATAGACCTGTATGGACAGAAAAGTGTTGCATTATTTCGGTTAACAATTGTTAGAATATGAATTAATCCTTCTGAAGTATTGAGGATTTTTAAAGGCAGTTGTTCTTTTTAGTGTTTTAAGCATTTTGCATAGAACTGAATTGCCCATGCAGTACACATATCTGAACTGACAAACACTTAGGCAGTATTATGGCTTGGACCAAACATGTCCCTCACAGTGCTCATGTTTACGAGGGGGCAGTTTTGGAAAGTGATCAAATCATCAGGGCACGAACCTCCATTAATGGATCGATTCATCCTGTGATTATGTCATTCCTGAAAATGCTGTTAAGAGGTGGGGACTGGTGGGAGACGTAGGTCACTGGGAGTATGACATCTCTGTCCCTCATTCCTCCTCTCCCTCTCTGGCTCTTTCCCTTTCACTTTGCTTCTTGGCTGCCATGAGGTGAGCCACTTTCTCTGCGGCACCTTCCCACCGTGATGTTTCCACCTTAGAGCTAGACAGCCATGTACTGACACCCCCGAAACCTTGAGCCAGAATATCCTTTGCTTCTTATGTTATGGAAGGGATTTTATGCTCGCAACAAAGAGCTGACTGACCTAGGCAGTGTTTACTAAAATTGAACAAACATTTACCCTATGACCCTGAAGTAGCTTTCTTGGGCGTATACCCACTTGAGTGGCTGCTGTAGCCCTCAGTGTATACATACAAGAAAATTCCTGCCACCATTATTCGTAATAGCCCAGAATGAAAAAAATCTTAGTATCTGTCCTCAGGTAGAAATGTGGGTATATTTATATACAATAGAATACATCACAGCAATAAAAAGGAACTTAACTAAGCATTGCACACAGAGAAAAAAATGTGATTAAAAGAACATAGGCTATGTAATTCCTATTTACAAGAAGGCCAAGGGACAACAAAACTATATAATGATAGAGGTCAGAAGTTTACTTGGGAATGGACTACCAATGGGTGGAGCTACAAGAGAACCTTCTAGTGTGTTAAAGGAGTGGTTTTGTGCCTGTGTTTATGTGTAAAAATTCATCAAGCTGTACATTTTTTGAGTCCTGTACCTCAAATGTTGCATGTCAATTAAACAGCAATACTGCAGGACTCAGTTCTACTAATATATATAAAGAAAAAACCCCACCACAGATTATAGCAAAACAGTTTTAAGATGGAGTTCCTGCTCTAGAAGTGATTCCAGATGAATTACAGAAGATGATACACGCGTGCTGATGTCAAATGCTAGTGACACCGTTAGGTGTGTGCTGTCCCAGTGTGTGTACCAGGGCTGCGGAGGGACAGGACAGAGAGGAAAAATGGAGCACACTGCACCTGAGCTGAGCACCTACATTCATTTTCTCTCTCTCTCCTCAGACTCCTCTAGAAGCTGCTTCTCATGGACAAGCCAAAGTGTTCGAATCTCCTCCACTGAAGTCACCACCCAGCTCCTCCTACCCCTCCCAGCTGAGTTCAGTCCACCGGTCCACAGCCTCTGACTGCTCCCTGCCCCTCCACATAGAATCCTTTCACCCCCTTGCACTGGTGCCGGATCTAACAGCTCCTTCTCATCCTCATATCCCTTGATCTCTGCAGACCCTGACACTTCAAAAGCCTTTCTTCAAAAGTCACCCTCCCTTTCTTTCCAGATGACATTATCTCCTCCCATTTCTTTGTTTGTTCTCCTAGGGCATTTTCTACAGTGACACCTTTGCTTTGCATCACTCTTTGTGTTTGGGTCCTCCCTAGGCAAGTGGTTTAGTCCATTCAGCCTGCTATAACCTAGTATTTTATAATTTATGAACAACAAGAATGTATTGCTCACGCTTACGGGACCAAAGCACCAGGAGATTTGGTGTCTGGAGAGGGCCTGTTCCTTATAGACAGTGCCTTCCGTGCGTCCTCACACAACAGAATGAAACACAAGCTCTCTCGGCCTCTTTTCAAGGACACAAATCCCCTTCATGACCTAATCACCTCCTAAGGGTTCTACTCTTAATGCCATCATCTTGGGGGGGGGTAGGTTTCAACCCATGACTTTGCCACTGGGAACCAACTCTCAGTTTTATCATTCAAGTGACTCTCAGATCTGTCCCCGTGTTTCCAATCTTGGTGCTTTGCTTTGCTCCCCAGCCAATTCTCTCACAGAGAGCACAAGAATCACTTTATCCATCCCTTGCTTCCTTCTAACATCGCCATCCGAGGCCATTAATGGATCTCTTCCTAAAACTGGCATCTGATCTTGCCTCTTCCTAACTTCCTTCCAGGATAAAGCCCGGCTTCTTAGCCTGGGTGCCCTCTCAATGTCTTCTTTGTCTTAATTTCTTTCCAGACTTTCTTCCAGCCCCTCTCTCAGGCAGCTTGAGCTCCATGCACCATGAGCGGTAGCTTCCCCAAATTTTCTTCATGCCCATGTCTGCCTGAAACCCTCCTTTCTCCTTTTTATCTCCACTGCAGAATTCCAGGTCATCCTTCAAAGCTGACTCCTGCAGGTAGAAACAGACCCCTGTCCTTCCTCTTCCCCTAAAACCTGCAGCATTAGAGCTACTTGCCGGGTGACCCAACTGGATATACTCCTGAAAGGCAGCTCTGTTGTCTTATTCATTCTTAAACCCATGGCTCAGTTGATGCTCAAACACTGTTGATCAGCCAGGTGTGCCAGTGCATACCCATAATCTTAGCTCTCAGGAAACTGAGGTGGGAGGATCGCCAATTCAAGGCCAGCCTTAGCTAAATAGATACTGTCTCAAACAAAACGAAACAATCCCAAATCCCCAAAGTACAGTGCATAGATAAGTAAGCCAGGGAGACACATAGCTCAGCAATTGCGTTGCCAGCACTGTCACTGTTTCTATTTCTGAGTCTAATTGCTAATGCACAAACTGCTCAGGGCCGAAACTGCAGTCAGTGGAATGGTCCAGCAGCTCCCTTGTGGTGCGAATGCTTCCTGCTCTTGTTGGACAGCTACAGTCTGGAAAGTGTACACTCCTTTGGGGGTCCAGGAAGGAAAAAATAATTCTGCCTAGGAGATCACCCAGCACCTGCCCAAAAGCCATTTTATTCAGGATTGCCCCCCCCACATTCGGATCATTAACAGCATTAGAAAATCACAACTCTGAGAAAGCCACAAGGACAAGCCCACGGGCCTGTGAATCGCTAACTGGGCAGAACCCGAGGCCAGAGGCTGCTGTTCTCTTTCTTTAGGCTCTGGAAGATGCTGAATGACCTTCCTGGTGGCGATCTCAGAGGGTCATGGGCCACCCCACACAGAGGCCAGCCGGCTGTGAATTTGTGTGAAACTTTGGGTACATTCTTTCTGGTCCCACTCAACCTTCTCTTGGCTAAGGAGTTCTGGCTGGAAGCAAGCAGTATTTGCTTTTTATTAAACCTGGAAGTCCTCTCACTCAAAGGTCATCGAGCCCTTGCTCTACCTCCACCATCGGTGTAGTTCGGACAAAGTTTTGCTCCCTTTGGCCCTTTGGGGACGTCCCCAGCAGCCCCTCTCAGCCTTCCTCCTACCAGACCCAAGGAAATATGTGGTGTCTGGAAAGATGCCCTGTAAATCATAAATATTGAATGGTGATTTGGAGTTGAATCATGAGAAGAGCTGCCTTAAAGGGGGGTTTAAATTCTTGCCACAACTCTGAGATGGGAGAACGAACCGCTAAATCATCACAGGCAGAATGGTGAGTGAAACAAACGGGCGGCTGGTGTCCCCCTCTGTGGAGGGCCGTGCGGCCATTTGTCCCAAGGTCTTTTTCCATTCATTCCCAATCGCCAAGCCTGAACCTTCTCCTCCGTATGCACAGGTCCGCCATTGTGGGATGGTGGGGCTCTTTGCTGGTGCTTTCTGAGGACAGGCTACGTGTGCGGGGAGGGCTGCTCCCCTATTAGGAGGAGGACCGTGGGGAGAAAGAAGCAAGAGTCAGAGATGAAACCTAATGTACTCAGGCAGGTGCTGTTCTAAGTGCCTTACATGGCTGGTGTCCTTTACCCTGCATGATCACCGGCTGGAGGATGTGCAGACGAGGAAACTGAGGCCCAAAAGAGGCTGGGTAACTTGCCCAGGATGCTAGACATGAATCGGAAACAGTGTTAATTAAGGACGCCATCCTTGATTCCTCACCGAGGAGACCATGCAGCCCATACGACCCTTCCAGCCCAGGCAGGCGCGATTCCTGCCCCTCCTTTCCTGTTCTTTCCCTTCTCACCCTGCAGGAAGCAGCCGCCAGACAAGATGGCCACAGTGACTCATCACTAGAAAAATAAAATTCTGAGTGGAGGCTGCCTGAGTGGCGTGACCGCACTCTCTGACAATGGAAGAGTGTGCCCCGGGCTTTCAAAGGGCGTAGCCACTCACTGCTGTTAAGACAAAGGTGGCAGCCACAGCAGGCTGGGGAGGGCTGGTGGAAGGAGAGCTACAGAAGAGACAGGGCACTTTCCAAGGTGAAAAAGGGGGCCAAAGGGGACAGAGAGTTGCCTGTAGCTGTAACTGAAGCTTTTTGCAATATTAGGTAAACCCCGTGGTTTTTGTTCACTCCTATTTTTATTTGGCAGTTGAACCTGGCCTTCACATAGAAGGAAAGTTTTCTGCCTGGCAGGTCAGGCAGCTAAAGACCCCCCACGAAGCTCCTAAATGGTTTCACCTGGGCAATGTGCAAGGCAGCCTCATGGACACCGGCTTGGTTAGGCGGCTGCCTTCTGTCCCAGGTGGGTTCCCACTTCTGCCGCAGAGCAGACGGTGTGTGTCACTTTCTGCTTTGTCTTGCTCCTCCCCAAGGTCTGGCCCACTCCAGGGCATGACTAATGGCCAAGAGAAGGAGCAGGGACAATCAGACATCATCTGGATCCTGGTGGCTCCTGGAACGGAATGCCATCCAGAGAGCTCTGGGGGGCTGTGTTCCTATCACACTCACTCCATTGCATAGTGTGGCAGAAACATAGCCAGGTCCTAGGATGGGGGAGGGAGCCGCCCTGGGTGGGCAGGCAAGAGGGTGACACCTGGGGCTTTGACTGGGAGGCCAGCAAATATCCAAACACTGCCACATTCCTTGAGCGTCTTCCTGTTTTTTGTTTTTGGTACCAGGGATCGAACTTGGGTCCTTGCACTTGCAAGGCAGGCTGCAGAACCATTGAGCTAAATCCCCCACCCTTGTGTCTTCCTGTTTGACCACTGCTGTGGACTAAATTGTGCACACCCTGTATATGCTGAATTCTATCCACCGATGTTACTCCATTTAGAGCCGAAGCTGGGGATGGGGGCAGATGATTAAGCTTAAAAGAAATCATAAAAGTGGAACACTAACCCAATAGGATAGGTGAAAAGACAGTAGAGAGACAAGGCAACTCTCTGCAAGCCAGGAAGAAATAAAGCCCTCACTGGGAACAAAACTAGCCTGCACCTTGGTCTTGGACTTCCGGGCTGCCAGCACAGTGAGAAATCAATTTGGGAGGTTTAAGTCATCCAGTCTTTGGTCCAGCCAGCGCTTAGCATGTGCAGGTTCCCTGTTGGTGGGTTGTTCTGTGAATCAAAAAACATTCGGGGAAGGGCCAGGTATTTAGCTCAGTGGTGCCACCACCTGCTTCACAAGCACAAGGACCAGAGTTCAATCCCTAGTACCAAAAAAGAAAAAGAAAGAAAG